CAAAAGCATTTCCCCTCCTGCCGCACCCATAAACTGCAGCTATTTTCTCTGTGTGTCCTTTGTCTAAACACAACGACCTCTATATATCTTACAAGATGCCCCATGGCAGTCGGGAGATCGGAAACGAGAGGCTCTTCAGCAGCCAAAGAATTTGCAAAGAAGCTCTTCTTTTTTCTTTTTTTTTTTTTTTTTTTTTTTTTTTAAATGCCCAAATGTTACAGTGATGGAACTCATAGTTCTGATCTTTGGTTCAGACATTAATAATTGCAACATTTAAATCGTATGTTTTCCCTTCTTTCTAGAGAGAGATTTCGATGGAAATGATTGAATGAATGTTTGTCTTCATGTTTGGGTGATGGATAAATTCCAAGAGCATACAAGCAACTCTTTCCTGGTCTGAGTAATTTAAGCATAAAGGCATGTTTTTGTAGGAAACCGAAACTAGCATAGCAAAGGTATGTAACTTAATCAGGAAGTGCATTTGCTCCTTGATTTTTATGTGTATAGTATTAAACTACATAACATAAAATGGAAATGACATCTTCCCTGTAACTACTTAATGGACATAATAATAATCCAGTATTTGATCTGCCTTGCTATACAAAATTATTGCAAGAATGCCAGATGGGAAGTTTATTGCATTTCTGCATTTGCTTTGAATTTTGTTCTGTTATGATCTGTAGGCATGTTCTTGTCTAGAAGACTGAAACCTCCAATCTTTCATTATTTTCTTTTTTCAGTACTCATGGGTAAGAGAAAGGAAGAAAGCATTTCAAAGCCTGGACCCAATAAAAGGCAGAGACAAGAATACACAGATGAACAAAGTGATGAGTCTAACGACGAAGAAATTTCATCACCTGACAGTAATTTCTCTGTAGTGTCGGTAAGTTGTTTAAAATGCCCTTGGGGGAAGATATAGGAAGAAGTTGATTTGAAAAAGGTCTGTGCCTTTGGCTGACATCTAAATAAATGTCTGGTATTTAGGCTTCAGTAGAGCCGATATAAAAGAAACTAGAGGTAATGTCTGTGATAAGGATTTCTGCATAAGTTCATTCTTCCCTTATTTCTTTTAGATCATCTAGTTATAACAGCTGATATAATTGTTGATGTACTGTTGATAACAGTATTTTGGTTTTATAGAATGAATGCTACTGAAGTTGTCAAATAACCAAAGATTGCAAATATGGTCTTGCTTATTTAGACTGGACATGAGGAGAAATTTCTTTACCAAGCAGGTGGTCAAACACTGCAACAGGGTTCTTGGAGAGGTGGTCGTTGCTCCAAGTCTGTCAGTGTTCAAGAGGCATTTGGAGAAGGCCTGTAATAACATGCTTTAACTTGGTCAGCCTTGAATTGGTCAGGCAGTTGGAGTAGATGATTGTTGTAGGTCCATTCCAACTGAAATACTCTGTTCTAGTCTGTAAGACACTACGGTTAATTTTTTTGTCCACAGAAGCATTATTCCTCATTTAATCTTCTTGAACAGCAGGTATTCTGGGCCACTTGTTTGTGTATTTTTACTGAAGACTTTGCTTTCTTAGAAAACATTGTTTTTTCTGAAACACTGATGATAAAACTGAAGTCTCCTGTCAAAGCAATACTTCCCCAGTTAAGCAGTGGATTGTCCCACTTCTTTTCATTTCCCACTTTGTGATCTAATTTCCCTCATTCTAAGCTGTGCGAAGAATTCTCACAAATAGCATTATTCAAGTAACAGAAAATGTATTTCTATGATGCTCTTTATTGTTGCTCTCACAACTGTGTAGAGTCTATGATCTTAATCTTTCCTGTTGTATTAATTAAGTTAGTTATGGGGAGAACTGAAAGTTACTATGAGTGAACGATCAGCTTTGGTAACTCTTTTCCTCTTATTTTATTAGCCACCTGCTCTGTAGCAAGACTCTCTTTATATCTCATTAAACCCTTCTGATTTCCTAGTAGCTTGTAACCATTGACATTTTATAGCATACTGTCATTTGAATTCTCATTATATTTAAAATAGATAAACTCTGTCTCATTAAAATGTATACATAACACCAGTTTTAATTGTTAATTCTTTAGACTGCAGGGGAAGTTGGGATAATTGAAAGTATCCAGCTGAAGAACTTCATGTGCCATTCGATGTTGGGGCCTTTTCAGTTTGGATCAAATCTCAATTTTGTTGTGGGGAACAATGGAAGTAAGTATTTATTGCCTCATTTTTTTGGCAAAGGACATTTTTGTTCAAAATTTAGAGGATGTAATTTTTATTTGAAAAAGCATTGCTAGACATCTTTTAGGAAGGAAGCAGATCCATTTTTGGACTTGGGAACCACACAGGTCTATCCCAGAAGTTCAAGGCTAGTGAAAAGGTCTTAAATTGGGAGACTTGCAAAAGATAATGTGAATATAAGTGTTTTCATAGTGAAATCATACATAAATTTATATTGTAACCAAATGTGCTCAGTCGCGTGTTCATTGTTAAGTGCACAGTAATTGTCCTGTTGTAAGAATGGGAAGTTATACTTATTTATGCAAGTTCACGTCTTTCAGAGAGAGAATTTCAAAAATTTAACATAAATTTTGAAAGAGAGCTTAAAACCTTTCAGATAGTTGAATAAATTGTAGTGTGTGTTTCATTTCTTTTGTTGTATACACATTTTCTGTATGTTTGTAAGGAAGGGGAGGTTCTTCGCAAAGAGATAGGACATCTTGTTGAATGCAAATTGCTAAATAGAAGTGTGGCTCAGTTTATATGTTTGTTCAATAAGGACAGAATTTGAACTTTAAGTGCATAAATGCGTAAGCAGTCAATCAAAAATCTATAGTATGGGTGAAGTGGATAAAGAAGTACAAGAACTTTAAATAAAAAAAAGTTCAATGCTGCTATTACAGGTGGAAAAAGTTCTGTATTAACTGCCCTTATTGTTGGACTTGGTGGAAAAGCCACTGCAACTAACAGAGGTTCTTCATTAAAAATGTTTGTACGAGATGGAGAGACGTAAGTAAAACTTCTTTAGTTCTAAGGTTGAACATGTTTAGTGATTATGATTCAGGTTATCTGATTCATTTTCTGTTCACCTTCGTTTTCTCTGTTCTCTTACTAGATCTACCAGATTGAAATAAAAAGCATAACACTCGAGACAATATTTAAACAAATAACCTCCAAAACTACAAACAAAAGCCACATCAGTATTTTTAGCATTATTATACCATTATCTCTGAACTAGCTAATATAGTGATATGTCCTCAGTATTGCCCAGTTCTTGAGTATTGCTTTCATGATGTACTTGGATATCCTATGGAAGAATTGAGTTCGTTAGAAAAAATTCCTAGGAAACTAGTTATCATTGTTCTGTGAGCAGTAATGTTAATTAATGCATTTTCTGTCTTTTTAGTGACATGAATGAGTCTACAATATAGAGACCTTGACATACAGGTGGATTATTAAACATTCAGGAAGTAGATTCATGTCTGCTGCAGGAGTGGGAGTAAAAAGATAGGAGAGGAGGCTTAAAAGTTTACATTTACAAAAAGCTGTAACTCAGAGCCTTAGGTTTTTCCTTTCAGATGTTCTTGGAGTAAAAATTGTTGGTAGTACCTGCTTTATGTGTAATAACTTCATGTTTCAGCATTCACATGAGAAACAGAAAACACAAATTCAGAGCTGGAACCACATCTCACCTTTTCTAGAAGAACGCCTTAGGCATTCCTCTGTAGATCACTTTGGTTAGGGATGGCCATAGAAGCTAAGCAACTGTTCTCTACAGAAGCCAGTTTGGGGATGTGAGAAGAACCAAAAAGCAACTTGATTCTTCAACCTAAAGATGGGGTCACTCAGATGGAAAGGGAAAGTGGGGGAAATCTGCTCTCACAACTGTTTGCTTTTTTGCCCATGATTTATCTGAAGCCTAGAGGGTGCAAACAGGTCAGTGTGTGGCAGCCTTTCTGACGATGTGTCTCCGATGCTGTTTTGGCTCAAACAATATAAATATATCTTGTTCTGATTGGTACAGTGACTGACTTCCAGGTCTGACCTGTGCAAGAAAGACATGACGATTTTTGTAGAAAAATGTTTTGGGGGAAGGGGGGAGTTTGTTGGTGTGTTTTTTGAGGGTTTGGTTTTTTTTTTTTTTTTGGAACTAATTTCAGTTTTATTATTTTTATTTTTTAGTTCTGCAGATATTTCCATAACATTGCGAAACCAAGGCAGAGATGCATTTAAACCAGAAGTGTATGGTGACTCTGTTATTGTGAACCAGCACATTAATTTGGATGGAAGCAGAAGTTACAAACTGAAAAGCAAATCTGGTTGGTGGTAGTTTCTTTTGTTTTCAGTCTGAGAAGGTCTTTAGATGTTTTCATTTCTTTAAATGCCTTGATGGTAGTAAAGGATGATGTTTCTCACTTCATTCATCATTCAAGGATGATGATGATGTCCTTTTTTTTTTGCGTTTACCTTAGACCAAGAATATTTTAGCATGTCAAAAGCAAGTTCTTCATGGTGAGGTCATACAGTATTTGTCTTTATGAAAATCTGCTTGTGTCATGAGGCTGAACGTAGTCTGTAGTCTTTTTGAGTGTTTCTCATTTAGGACTAAATCTGTGTTACAAAAATACTAATCTTATGTTTTACATTTACTAAGAACCCGCTAGACTGAACAAATGACCAGGGCTTTAGGACTAAATCTGTGTTACAAAAATACTAATCTCATGTTTTACATTTACTAAGAACCCACTAGACTGAACAAATGATTGTATGTCTGTCTACTTTGGACCTATTGGTGTTTTTCCTTTCTTTTTTTTACCATTAGGGACCGTAGTTTCTTCAAAGAAAGAGGAACTTATAGCAATACTGGATCACTTTAATATACAGGTAATTGTTATACTTTTTAAATTCTGTGCAATTTAACACATCAGCATATGATATTGTAATTCTTCAATTAAAAAATCAATGTTTCATTTTGTTAAATGAGAGAGGTTCACCTCTTCCATGTTCTTTCAAGATCAAATGCAATGGCAAAAGAAATTGAAATGTATACCTCATTCAATGCAGGATAAGATTCTGTCCCAGGCAGATAAGGAATTGATATCATCTGTGAGTGAAAGTCTCAGCATATGTAGGTTTCTTTTATACCTGGAGCTTTTTTTTTCTGTTGTTTCTGCTCATGAACAGTTTTTGCTGCTTCAGAAATTTGAGCATGTTTTTGCTGCTTAAGTGATTAAGGAAAGATCAGGCAGTACACATGAAGGTTAAAATATTCAACTTATCCAGCCTTTCAAATAATATAAACTTGTGTTATTATGTGTTGATTTAATTTTGTGAACACTTCTGTAAGAATATATGGGGCAAGTAATTGTATTTAATGCAATATTAATTAAATAATGAGAGATAAAAAAAGCATTGGACAAAATTTCTAATGCTGATGTTGTTAAATAAATGAAAAACAAAACAAATAAACAGGCACTGTCTTTCTAAGTGTCAGTTACACTTCTGGGAACAGTTCCTTAGTTGTCCTTGTGGAGGTTGTAATTTGTACTTGGAGTTGGATTTATTTCCTATTTTGTTTGTTTGATTATTTTTTCAAAAAGAGAAAGAGGAGTAGAAATGTTAATTTCTGGATCTGGTTCTCTCAGTGTATTACTGGATTGCTGGGTGTGGAACAGGGAGATAGTTGGCTCGCTTTCATGGATGTGCATTACATGAGAACTTTTTTTACTCAAAATAAAATGAAAGTAATTAATTTGTACAGGTAGATAATCCTGTGTCTGTTCTAACCCAAGAGATGAGTAAGCACTTTTTACAGTCTAAAAATGAAGGTGACAAGTACAAGGTAAGAAAAAACATTTAATGGTTTGTATAAACATTAAAATACTGATTCCAAATTTTTAGAAATGGTGTTTGGAGGGGAAAAAAAATCAGAATTCTTTATTTAATAACCTGTTGCGGATTAACTCAGGTAAGTTGGTTAATGTGTGCTCCTAAGCACACAGCCACTTGCTGACTCCCTTTCCCTGCTGCCCCTGGCTTGGGATGGGGGAAGAGGAAAAGAAGACTAAAAGCAAGAAAATTTGTGGGTCGAGATAAAAATTGTTGAAAAAATGAAATAAAAGCTGGAAGAAGAGAGAAAGTGAAGCAGGAGATGCAAAGGCAATCACTCACTACCTCTCATGGGTGGACCGAGGCCTGACCACTTCCTAAGCAAAAGGTGGCTAATCCTACTAAATCCTCACCTCTCTGTTTTTATTGCTGAGCCATGATTGTGCTGATTTTTGGCTGGGGTAGAGGTGATTTTGTTCATAGCAGCTAGTATGGGGTTATGCTTCGAATTTGTGCTGAAAACAGGGATGCTTTCATTATTGCTGAGCAGTGCTTTTCTGTTCCTCGCAACACCCCACCAGTGAGTGGGCTGGGGGTGTACAGGGAGTTGGGAAAAAAAATCAGGATGCTGCTGAGTTAGTTAATTATTCAGAAACGCCTCACCAGTTCTTTAACTTTGGGTATAATTTGGCGTGCATAGAGGTCGTGATGACTCTTTCTATGGTAATTATTTAAAGTTCGCTTGAATCTGCCATCTTCATCTTTTTATTCCTTTTTAGTTTTTTATGAAGGCAACTCAGCTGGAACAAATGAAAGAAGATTATACATCTATTATGAAAGCTAAAAATAATACATGTGATCAGATAGAACAAGGAGAACAGGTATGTAAAAGTTTAAGTAATTATTAGTATGGATCCAAGCACTGAAATAACTCTAGGAGTTAAACTGCATAGTTTTTATTTGATAGGTACGTCTCAGTGATGTTAAATTTAAAAAAAAAAATAAATCTTTCCAAGATTTCATATTAAATCACAGCTTTTTGCACTCATGATTGAACCTTTCTCTTTCTTTTTGTTTTCTATTTTTTTTTTAAGCGTCTTCAAGAACTTAAGCAGCTTTATTGTGAAAAAAAGGATCGTTTCAAAAGCCTTGGGTTTGTGAATGACATGCGAAATCATCTTGAAGATTTGAAACATAAAATGGCTTGGGCAGTGGTAAATGTCTTGTTAAAATACGTTTTCTCGTATGAAACATACTTTAAATTATTCTCAATCTGCTGTGGACATTCTGATATATGCCAATGCGTGCTTCTATTTAGGTGGGTGAGATGGAAAAAGAAATACAGCCAATCAAAGAAGTCATCAGAGCTGAAGAAGGAAATACAGAGAAGTTTGTTCAGAGACTAGAAGAATGCCAGGTATGTGTATGATTGAAACCACATGCCACTCTAGTTTTAGCTTCTTGACTCAAGAATAAAAATAATATTTAAAATATTATTATCGTCTGGGTTGTAGGTTATTGAAACTGGCCATCTTAGCTTTTCACGAGCAGCTAAGAACATTCACATTTATTCACTTTTTTACCCATTTAAAACTTAACAGTAACATTTGTGTTCCATATTAGGACATACTCTTTTCCTGTTTAGTAGGGGGGGTTGTGTGTATGTAGTTTTCATGCTGATGCTTTTGTTTCAGGTAAGGGTTATATTATTTTAACTGGGAATTTGGGACAACCAGCATTGCATATACCAGTAATTTAAACCATTTTATTGTTGAGAGTACTTACTCGATGCCTATTTCTGTAATATTGGAGCATCTTTCAGAGATCTGTCATGTTGGTTTTCTTGGGTATCATTTCCTGTAGAGAAGATCAGTGTCTGATTTCAGGGGACATCTGGAAATCTAACAGACTCTGTGCATGGTACTTAGGACTCCTGTAGGGAGCAAGAAAGAATAATTTTGCCAAGCATTCAGATTCACATGTGAAATATATCTTTTGCAGAGAAATACTAGACATCATTCTTTTGTACTTTTCAGTCTATTAAAACTCCTAGCTTTCTGAATTGGCATTCATCTATCTTTTCCCTTTTTTTTTTAATGTTTAAAAAAACCGAAGTATGTATTTGTTTTAAGACTGAGGCATTTTTACTTTATGGCCAAATATGTCTGTGTAGTGTTGAAGGAATGTTGCCCAGATACTGCTTTGACTTCTTTCCATATTATGGTACTTGGTTTTATTGTATTAAGAGTCCTGTATTTGAGGAAACCGTGAATTAGGAAAGAAGGTTGCTGTTTACTTCACAGATATGGTAGTCTGTTGGTTACCTGAGTGTGTTCCTTTATTAATTTTCATCTTGGCTTATCTGTAAGAGACCGGCAGAATTACAAGATGTCTCAAAGCTCCCTTGCTGCAAAATTTCTGCTGGTCCGATTGTTGGTCCAGGACGTAACAGTATCCCTAGTGGCAATTACTTGCTTTATTTTTTTAATAAATAAAAAACAAATGAGACATGATAGGTGGATTATTTTGAGAGATATTTCTTCTGTAGCGTTAAAAGGTTTTGAACAAATTTTGCTTCATTACTTGTGTATCGTTCTCTTTTTGCAGATAAAAGTCAATGAAACAGAAGAGAAGTACAAAGCAATACAAGACAAGTTAATAACAGTAAGTGAGGAAGCACAAGCTCTGCATCCTCAGTGTGTGTCTTTGAAGGCTGATGTGCAGGCAAAAAGAAAAGCAGTCAATGAAGCTGAGGTAGGCAAAAAGAATTTTCAAAGGTAGTACTGATTTAAAGCTTTCATCTTGTCCCACGTGTAGTTCTCCATCTGTGTCTAGGCTTCCTGAATCCATAGTGCAGTTCAAAGGACAGGTGCAATTTCCTGCCTGAACTTGCAAGTAGTTTCTGTTCGGGGGCCATGGGGTTTATGTCTTTACACAGGTGCTAAGCAGTGTTAAACTTAGGTCAAAATAAATATGATTCAAGTTCACTGTGTTATTCCCTTTTCACATTCTTGAAATTCAAGTTAATATCTATTTTGATGCAATTCAGTGTTCATTTGCTCAAAGCTATAGCTCTTTTTGAAATTATTTATGGCTTCTAATTATTAAACTGCTGTATCCTATTTCTTTCATAGGTACTTTATAATCGTTTCAAAACTGAGTTAAAACTTTTGGGAAAAGATGATGAACAGCTACGTAAAAGAATTGAAGAACTGAAAAGCAGGTAAATACGGATACAGCGATTACAGTGTATGTTTATCAAGATATAGGTATGTGGGGAGTGTGCTTTTGTGATTAATGAGAATATCTGCAGTAACAGAAAAAACTTCTTTAAACTTTAGCAGGATCCACTAAAATATTTAAATATTTCTGATCCTGCTTCTTTGCATACCAAGATTTTGACTGGAGGGTGATGAGGTAAGTGGACAGACAAAAGCTTCTCTTTTTTTGTTGGTGATTATATATATTTTCTAGCTTCCGAGGTGTTGAAAAACAAGTATACCTTATGTTCCTATTACATTTAGTTTAACTGGGGAGGGTTTATGTGTGATTACAAATTAAAAAATTTAAATTGATATTTATGCTTTGTAGATCTTGTAAATGGACAGAATCTGAAACGTAACTTCCTGATGTGTATAACTTTTGTATGATGCAGGTAATAAAACTAAGTTTATGTCACTTATCACCAGTGTGGTTTTAAAATATAGAACTATGATCTTTTCTAGTGCTAATCAGGTTTCAGAGCCTGAAAAATTGGAAAGACAAAGGAAAATCGCACACTTAAGGGAACAGTTAAAAGCATTCCATAATGAAGATGTAATTATCAGTCAAGAGGTGGATCAGTTTCAACAGGCTATATCTAAGTGTAAGGAGGAACATACTAGACTTGAGTAAGTTATGCTTTTTGAATTTAACTGTTTTCCTTTGTTTGAAGTTAGAAGAGGTTCCTTCTTATGTACCTGGATTCCCTGAGATATTAGGCTTAATTTTCTTTTTTTTTTTATTTTAATTTATTTTTTCCTGGTTTATCTTAGGACTTGCTAAACTTCTGGCTTTGGCACAACATGACTTAATTTAGAAACTTTTGGAAAACTAAGAAAACTGTTTTGTCATTAAAGGTGAAAGGTATTACTAATTCAAAGGCTGATATAAATCCATACTTTCAGTTTAATGCCCCTCCAACTACCTGTCCCATATTCTGTTATGATCCCATGGGCAGACTATGATTTAAATTTTTTCATGTTGTTTAATACACTAGTGCATCCTGATATGATGTCACAAGATATATAACACAATACAAGAGAATAGGTACACTTAAGGGCAAATATTTTATCTATTGTTAAAGGGAAATTTATAGAGACTTAGAAGAAAGTGATTCAAATACCAATATAGCCTATACTCAAAGTAGAAAAACAAAGTACTTTTTGGCTTTGATTTGGAAACCTGAACTTGAACAGCGATTACCTTATGGGATTATGGTGATGTTGTCATTTATTGCCTTAAGAGATTTGATAATTGTAGCTTATTACACTTGATATATTAGTTTAAATGACTTTTATCAATAATTGTAACCAGCAGTTACTTTGTGATCTGTTGAAGACCTTTGTAGAAGACAGTGAAATTGAAGCATATCATTAGAAATAAAATAAACTTATAAAGTGTTAAAAGTAAAGTCCTGTAAAACTGCTGTGAAGTAGTACTTCTCTTGCTTTTTTTCTCTCATGTTTCTTGAAACTATAACAATAGTGTTGCATGTGTGTAGCTAGCTGTACATTAGAGTAGGGAGTTCCTCATACACTGTGCTATCAGTACTTGAAAAATGAGACTTTGTAATTATTTTATTAAAATTAAGGCTTCATAAGCTGTTGTTACTGAAAAAAATTCTCTTAGGAGAGAAGCCTGTGACACGAGAGAAGCACTGGATGTCAAGCAGAGGCAGCTGAGAGAGCTGAAGGACAGTAAAACAAATACCTTGAAAAGATTTGGAGCACATACGCCAATGCTTCTTGAAGCAGTTGAAACAGCCTATAGGCAAGGGTGCTTTAGACACAAACCTATCGGACCTTTAGGTAAGAATGACTGCTGAAAAAGACATATTTCCTCATGGAAATGCATCTTTTGTGAGGCTTCTAATATAAACAGTGATCTTTTGGAGGAGCAATTTGTTCTTTAAGGAGCTTCAGGTATATCTGTCTTCTGTACTTGCTGGTCTAAAGGTTTTATTCTGGTAGATTATCTTTTGCTTCTGTCCTTTTTATCACATGAACTAGCTAGAATCTGCTGGTTTTCATTGTTTTCCAGCTGTTTTTGTTAAGGTAATTTATGTAGTTGTAGTGGTAAACTTGCAGTGCACCTCTCTGACTTCCCCCACACTCGAAGCATCAGTCTACTTTGGCCGCTTGTTCCTTGGTGAGATAGCTCTGTCCAGTTCTTGGACAGATTTTGTTCAACATGTCCAGTTGCTGACTTGTGAGCTTGTCAAACTTGAGATGTTTTGCATGGAGCAACTCAAATAGAACCAATTGAGATTTTCTTGGAAAGTTTGGTTTCATTAGCTTTTTGACCAGCTCTGACAGTGACTGCTATTTTCACTTTGTGACCGGGAGTAATGGCTTCAGCATATTCTGGTTGTAAGTGTAATATTTAACTCTGGTTTTAAGGAAATACTTAAGTATTTGGCATTTACTGCAGGTTAGGAACGTGCAAACACACATACAGGCGAAACAGCGGAAATCTACATGTTTGTTTAACTTTCAGCATAGTTGTTCCTCCACTTTTACCCTTAAAGGATTAAATTGCTGATAAGCAATCTTTGTTTTGATACAGTCCTCCTGAGATGCCATAAAATTAGTACCTGCCCTTGGGCCACAATAACCCCATGCACCACTACAAGCTTGGGGAAGTGTGGCTGGAAAGCTGCCTGGCAGAAAAAGACCTGGGGGTTCTAATTGACAAGCGGCTGAATATGAGCCGGCGTGTGCCCAGGTGGCCAAGAAGGCCAATGGCATCCTGGCTTATATTAGAAATAGTGTGACCAGCAGAAGTAGGGAGGTGATTGTCCCCCTGTACTCAGGTGCTGGAGCGAGTGCAGAGGAGGGCAACGAAGCTGGTGAAGGGCCTGGAGCATCAGCAGTTGAAAGAGCTGGGACTGCTTAGTTTGAGGAAAAGCTGAGGGGAGACCTCATCACTCTCTACAACTACTTGAAAGGACACTGTGGAGAGGTTGGTGCTGGTCTCTTCTTGCAGGTAATTAGTGACAGAATGAGAGGGAATGGCTTCAAGCTCCAACAGGGTAGGCTTAGACTGAACATTAGGAAAGAATTTTTCACAGGAGGAGTGGTCGGGCATTGGAACAGGCTGCCCAGGGAGGTGGTTGAGTTATCATCCCTGGACGTGTTTACGAGTTGTTTAGATGTGGTGTTGGGGGATATGGTGTAGGGGAGAACATTGTAGAGTAGGGTAGATGGTTGGACTTGATGATCCTAAGGGTCTTTTCCAACCTAAATGATTTTATGATTCTATGATTAAGTAAAGTTAGTAATGACCTGTCAAAGATCTTGGAAGAAAATGTAGGCGTCCAAGTACTTATAGGTGTCTCTATGGGAAGAGAAATTATATGTCTCTGTTCTCAGGGTACCTTGTGTTGTGGAGGTTTTTTTATCTTTTAATTAACTTTTAAATTTTTTTTTCTTGTAAGAAAAGATTATTTTACTCTTAAAAAACCACAAACCATAACACAACAAAACAAAAACCTTCAGTGATAAAAATGCACTGCTGGATGTTTTGTTATAGAACACAACTCCTAAAGCCTTGTCTCTTATGTTTATTTAGGTGCTTTCATTCATCCAAAAGATGCTGAACTGACCTTGGCTATTGAATCTTGTTTAAAGAGCCTAGTTCAGGCATTTTGCTGTGATAACCACAGTGATGAAAGAGCTCTTCAGCAACTGATGTCAAAATATTATCCACATGGATTTAGACCTCAAATAATTGTAAATAAATTTCAGAGTAAAGTTTATGACGTTAGGCACAGGTAAGTTACATTATGAATTTTCTTCCTTAGCCTTGATGGTTCAAATTATTATTAGTTGAAAAGAATTATTTGTAATAATTTTTTTTTTTAAAGGTCTCATGTGAGCTTTACGAATGGTGATTTTTCTTCTTTTCACCAGAGCAGTTAATCATCCAGAATTCCCATCGGTTCTCACAGCATTGGAAATAGATCATGCAGTGGTTGCCAATTGTTTGATCGATGTGAGGGGCATAGAAACAATCCTGCTGATTAAAGTAAGGCTCTGTGTTCCCTATTGGTCTTGTTAAGAAAAAAAAAGTTTTCTTTTAGTATGGAGCATATACGGTACCTTCGCTGATAGTGTCTGTAGTGGACAAAACAGATACAGAAAGATTATTGCATTTTTCTTTTTGCCCTTCTGAGCAGAGGTGAGCACCTTGATGCCTCAGGAAACCCTGACTGTATTGGTTATCACTGGAGGGTTCCCTGTAAGGCCCTCTAAGCATTCAATAAACTGTCAGGGTACCTTTGCTGATAGTATCTGTAGTGGATAAAACAGATACAGAAAGATTATTGCATTTTTCTTTTTGCCCTTCTGAGCAGAGGTGAGCACCTCAATGGCTCAGGAAACCCTGACTGTCTTGGTTATCACTGGAGGGTTCCCTGTAAGGCCCTGTAGGCCTTCAATAAACTGTCACTATCCCGCTTCAAACTCTGTTTTCTGTCATGGGTGAGATTGTAAACTGACAGCCATAGTGGATTTAGGAACTGGGATTTAAATATTTAAGAATCAGCAAGGTTAGAGCTTTTACTTTTATTTCCCCACACTTGCTAGTTGCCTTGCCCCTCTCAGTCCTACCTTTGTAAGTCTCAACTTCTGTCCGTAGGAGGGAGATGCAGAAAGGTCAGGCAGAAGATCTGACCAGTTCCTGCTGTGCAGCTGCTCACAGATCCCTGTTTGGGCTGTTACTGGCCATGGTCCCTGGGCATTCCCTGGGATTTGTCTCTTACAGATTTCTCCCCATGTGTTTCCAGGATCTTCCCTGTTTGTTTCTGGGATGTTCATCACCACCTTTCCAGGCCTCTAAGTGGTCTACTTACCCAGTATAAGTAGTCCATGTGTGTTTGATCAGCCTCCTAACTGCTTTCTCTGTCTCATGTCTCTATTAATTGGTGGTTTCAGGATGTGTCACTTTTGTGTAGTCTGAGTTTACAGCCAGCTCCTAGCAGTTGTACCTAGTGACTGGTAGCTAGGTACCAGTTGTAGTGTAGTAGGCTTGTGCTTGAGAGTTAAAAAGTTCCCCTTTGGGTATTCAGCCACTCACTCTTACATGAAATTATCAGCCTCCTGGTAGCATTCACAGCCTAACTTATTTTTCACCCACCACAACAACCAGAGCCCATGCAGACTCTGTGCTGTTAAGGCATTTGAGACAAGAGAGTGTGTTGTGGTTGTTGATAGTTGGGTAAAATAAAAAAAATAGCAATAATCAGTTACTAAATAGGAAATCATATAATGGCAGAAAACAGCTCATTAACATGTTTTTATAGTGATCAAAAAATAGATTCTTATCAAAATAGTATGCAATCTTAATTCAATACCAGTTACCAGTCACCTCATTCAAATCCTATCTTAATTGATTTTTGATTTTTTTGTTACTACTGAAAATACCAGTTCCAGCAGATAAGATTACAGGTAAAATGTTCAAAGATAAAATAAGATATATATATATGTATACACACACAGATATTTATTTCTTTAAAGAAAGCAAGGTATTCTAATGAGCAGCAGAACTAATGATACTGATTTGTGGATTTTTTTTTTCCTCTGAAAGCACTTATCTGATTTTGTCCTCTGACATTCCTGCTGGAAAAATGGTCTGTCCAGTGCAGAGCTGACTGCGTGTTTAGCAAGCATGGCTATTGCTGAATGGGATAAGTAACAGCTGGACTTTCTAGGCTATTTTTTTCATAGCAGGAATGCTAGTTTTGGTCTTTCTCCTGGGCCTACCTAAGCACTGTTTTTCATAATGTTACTATTCTTGAGCCCTGCCGGAATAATTTCAACTGAACCTGAAATAAGGTGAATGAATATTTGTGTGGATGAAATTATACTTCTGAATGAGTAACATGAGTGTCCCGGACAAAGGCACTTGTGACCACTTAATCTGGCACTGGCTATGTTGTAGGGTTTTTTTTTGGTTTGGTTTTATTTTTTTTTTACCAGCATGCTTCCCCAAACTTTAATTGAATATTGTTTGATGTACTTCACAGCTTCCTTTGGAAGAATGTTTCCTGTATGCGTATTCCACTTTTGACTGTTAAATATTTGGTTAGTGATTTTTCTTTTTTCCCAAGACAAATTATAAGGAACTGATTAGACTATGGAACTTAGAGTTTAAATAAATTTGTAATAGAATAAAAGAAATGGGCAGCTAAACTAAGTGGATGCTTTTTGGGAACATGTCTTAATCAACTAAAAAAAAGCAGAGTCTTGACATTATAGATTTTTTCACGTTCCTTCATTGCCATTATTCTTATTTTTCATTAGGAATTGAAATGGTTGAGGACATCTAGACAAATTTTAAATGGATATCTCTAATTATGGTTGCTTTTCTATTGGTATGATAAGGCCATTGTATTTTTCAGAGTAGCCGTAAAGCTCGTGAAGTAATGCAGTTCAATCGGCCCCCAAAGAATTGCAGAGAAGCTTTCACTGCTGAAGGTGACCAGGTATTTGAAAGACGATACTACTCTTCTGATTACCTGAGACCCAAGTTCCTAGGCAAAGATGTTGAAGCAGAAATAAGGTTAGCATCTTGTAATGTTGTATTTGTAATAAGTGCACTTGTTGATGTGAACAGAGGAATTGCATATTTGTCTATTTGCATGTGCACCACTTTTCAGTCTTTCCACTTCGTGAACAGAGGAATTGCATATTTGTCTATTTGCATGTGCACCACTTCTCAGTCTTTCCACTTTCTCTCTGAGATTTACACTTCTTTTCTGAGAATTCTGGAAAACCACTTTATTTCAGTGCCTTTCTGGGATAGGTACAATCCTGAGTTGTACCTTGATATTTGTCAGCTTGTGGCATGTAAATTTTCCCCAGTAAGTAGGGATTTTCTGGGCTGAATACTCCAGGAAATCTAGTTACCTTCCTTTTTATGCTATGGTTCCTGAAAAAGAGTATGGAGTTAAAACTATTTCTTTAAAAATCTTATACCTGAACAGTGCTATTGTAGGTTTACTGCAAAGGAAGCCTGACTATTCAAATAAAAATTACATTGACATGTGTAATCCTGCTGGTTTCAAACTTTGCATCTGTGTTTTCTCAGGCTTTTGTCTTCCCCCTGGCCCCCTCCGTTTTATCTTTTAGTTGATGCATCTGTGTTTTCTCAGGCTTTTGTCTTCACTCATGGTAGGTGTCTCTGAGACACTTGACTTCCCTTGGCCCTCTCCGTTTTATCTTTTAGTTGTGGTTTTTTTCTCATTACTTTCAAAGTAGTAGTTTTAAAATCCAAACATATTTCAGAGTTTTCAAACTGTCACCAAGCAAATTGATGACAATAGAATACTTTTATTTTAAGTCTTAGATTATATTACAGACATATTAAGGAAATATGTTAATTTATTTTATTAATAGCTGATAGTGTAGACTGAATTCAGTGTTAAAAATTTATTTCTGTAAACTCAAAAGACCTAAATATGCCAGTTAACTGTACTTAGTTTGTGTCAGTATATAATGAACTTCACTCAAAGATTATTTTAACTTTCAAAGTTTTATAGGCATTTCATTACTGATATTGCTATGGGGGAATGATGTAGGCCAGTTAAAAAGGAAAAAAGACTTCCCACCTCCTGCCCCTTCAGAACTTAACCTAAAGCAGTGACACATTTATCTGGAATAGTGTATGCAATTTATTAAACACTGATTTTGGAATCAGACTTAATCAGTCCATTTCACACACACATAGAAAAAGTTGGATTAAACACTTGCATTATTTTTTTAAAACACTAATATTAGTAAAGCTTCCCCTTTCTTTTGCAGGGATGAAAAACTCTATCAAAGTTTTGCCATCTGTAAATAATTATAAAAAATAGCTTTGTTTTGCATTTCAAATAGTTTTACCACAAACTCAAAGAATTAATTAAGGAAATCTCTGGACATGACCTCCTTTGTGGAAGGAAAAGTATGAGACTATATACAATTTTTTTTCCACATCTCTGTTAATGTGTTTTCTCTCTGACTGCAAGTGTTTTGTCCTAGTCAAAGTGTTTGTTTTCTCTTAAGATGCAGAAATATTTTTAGAAGTAATGCCCCTGTTTAGTTCAAACGTTTCACCTGTTTGCAAATACTGCGAACAGAGGTTACAGATGGTTCAAATAACATGAATGGTTTGTCCGCTTGGCATTGAGCTAGGACCATCCAACAGCTGTCTGCTGGTTATTAGCTGTGGGGTCTGCTATAGAGCTTTGGTGTTTCTGTATTGATCAAAATGCATAACAAACTTCAGATTTTTTTTTTTTTTTTTTTTTTTTTTTTTTTTTTTTTTTTTTTTTTTTTTTTTTGGAGAGGGGAAGTGGTGTGTTCTTTTTTTACCCTTTGTCTTGTCATGCATTTAATTTTGTGTATTTTTGGGTGCGTGTATGTGTGTAATAAATCATCTCTGTGTGCTATATAATATCTCAATATCACTTTTTTTATAAAGTCACTTGGAGAAAGAAATTGAAAACAAAAAGGCACAGATAACAGCATCTCATCAACGTTTACGTTCCATTGAAAATGAGGTTAAGCAGAATGAAAGTCATCTTCGTGGTCATCGACAACACCAAAAAGAACTACAGGTAAAATAGGTAGAAAGTTAATTTTTAGAAATGGGCCAGTCTTTCTTTATTTCATTTCTGACTATTGCAATATATTTTGAGTGGATAATAGGTTTTAATGTTTATCTTTACTTTTGCTGTTTGCTTTCATGTTGTTTACTTCTGTAGTATGCTTTCATACTTAGCCTGGAGAAAAGGAGGCTGAGGGGAGACCTTACCTCTCTACAACTACCTGAAAGGAAGTTGTAGAGAGGTGGGGGTTGGTCTCTTCTCCCAAGTCATAGGAGATAAGACAAGAGGAAATGGCCTCATGTTGTGCCAGGGGAGGTTCAGGTTGGATAGTAGGAAAAAATTCTTCACTGAAAGGGTTATTAAGCCTTGGAATGGGCTGCCCAGGGAAGTGGTTGAGGCACTGTCCCTGGAGGTATTTAAAAGATGGGTTGACATAGTGCTGAGTGACGTGGTTTATGATGGTTTTTTATCAGGGTTAGGTTGATGGTTGGACTAGATGATCTGAAAGGTCCCTTCCAACCTAGACAATTCCACAATTCTGTGATTCATCATTTAGGTCAGAATGATAGAGGTAACATCAATCCTAGCATATGCTGTTGTTTCTGTATGGGTTTTTTTTTTTCTCTCCTTGTGCTAAATCTTACAAATTTCCACTGCTTTTTTTAACACAAATAGCAAGTTGTTGCAATATTTGATATAAGTCGGTGTTTTTTTCCCCTGCTTCCCCCTCCTTTATTTCTGTTGAGCCTTGCCTCTTCATTCACAGAATCTTTTGTTCTCTTCATGCTTTTCATTTATACTCTTAACCTATTTTAATATGCTGAATATTTTACCTTTAAGTTTTCTTAATGTTAATTTCTTTATAAACCATTTTACAACTGTTAGTTGTCTTTCTTTGTTTCCCGGTGCCTCTAGGTAGGATGTATGTTTGCGGTGGCCAACGACGTTAGAGTTAGGCAGTGTAAGATAATACATGCTATTTATAAGGTTATATTCAGTAAATTGCAAATAACAACCAGAAAAAAAACTGGCACGCGGAGTCAAATTGCTGACGATAAATATTTGAAGGAAAAGTAAAATATATTTTATTCATTTGTCATGTTGAATGGAAGTGCAAGAATAACTTAATGATTAAAAGTGCATGTGACTTTCAGAACAAATTATATCTCATAAAAATGAATTCCATAGGTAAGTGGGAAGAGTTCTGCCTTTTGTAGGCACTAATGAAACTAAAAGACTGATTAACTTACTTTGTGTGTTGACTGAAAAGAACTTTTCTCTTTAGATAAGCTCAAGAATATTTATTTTCTTTTTTTTTTTCAGATAAAAATAAGAACAACAAATGCAGAAATAGCAGATCTTGAAAATATGGAAGAACACCAGTCAGTGGGCATCCGTACACTAGTAAGAATGGATTATGAAATTATATCTAATAAGGATATGAAATAAAGTCTTTTAACATTGGCAGTGTTTTGAAATAAGCAAATATAGATTTTCAGTTACTGTACCAGTTGGATAAATAGTGAAGAATGTAACACTTTGCCATAATTGTAGATGTTCTGTAATGGCAGGATTTTATTTATTTTTGGTGAGTTTTAGCTTGGTTGGGTTTTTTCTTGTTTTTTTAGTGTGGGGTATTTTTCCTGCCCTTTTCCAAACCAGTAGCACTATAGGTTTATGGAAGGCAAGGTGGTTAAGGTGGTTTTGTAAAGGGATATTCCATGCATTTTCTTTCCTCGTGCCGGACCTGCAGGGCTGTAAAACCCTGGGGAGAAGCGGTGCTGTAGGTTTGGAGGTCAGAAGCAGCACCATCAAAGCTATATATAAAGGCCACTCAGGAGCATACTTTGTGTCACAGTGCTGCTGCCCTGCCCTGAACCCACAGTTTCTTGTTTTCCTGTAGCTTCACCTTGCAGAAACTTGAAAGTTCATATATCGCTCTAGGGAAGGATCATGGTAGTACAATAGTAGTTTAAGAACAGAAGAAAAATATTTGATAATCTGTTGTGATTTGTATGATGGTGGCCATGAATTTCAACTGTTACTCTGTAATCTAATGTATAGATGGCCAGGAATTCAATTCTGAGAATCATGCTGATAGATGTTAATAAAAATCCTGACTATAGCTGTTTCAGTTAAATTCCATGCCAGTTTTCCCGCTATTTTATCTGGGCTTAGCAAGAGGCTAAGTTGCTCAGAATTTGGGGATAATTTTGTCACTTCTGTTTACATATTTCTTCCCACGTTTTGTAAAATTTGTCTTTTTGAATCAGAAAGTATATCTGGCAAAGATTCATTAGGAATGGTATAATTGTCCAGGGAACAGTGATGATCCATTTACTCTCCCTGTATTCCTTTGTATACTGAATGTGTATATACGCTGTCACAGATCCAGGGAGTTCCCTTGTTCTTTTGTTTAATAATATTTTGCTACAGTAATTTTTTTATGACTAAGTTTTCACAAAATCGTAGCCCCTTTAGTCTTTTCTTCACAACTCCCTAATGAAGTCCCCTTAGTTTACAGTTATATAATTAGGAAATGCCACTTTTTCTTTTACAGTCTGATTTAGTGGCCTCCTACAAGATCTGTCAGTCTCTTCTTTTGGGCTTAGTGGCAACTGCGTTGACCCTTTCGTGTTCTTATTAGAGCTATAGAGTATTGCATGTAACCTTGCAGCCTGACAGATAAAAATATCATACAGTAATTTGCAAATGTATGTCTCCTTTTATTATTCTTCATTTTAATATATTTTGTCAGGAAGATGAAGCTGAAGAAAATAAGAGTAAGATGGAATCTGTAAAAAAAGACATGCAGCAACAAAGCAGAAAAATGGAAGAACTGAAAAATATTGTTCAGGTAGCTGAAAAAAAATTTGAAGAAATGAGAGAAAAAATTCATCAAGTAGAAGAAATTGCTGGTCCAATTAAGGTAGCAATAATGTCATATTTTATTTTTAACTACTTCCCTTGGCAAGGGGTATGAAGTTAAATAGAGAAAAGAGTATGCTCCTTCCTGATATAATTAAGGTCTGTCTATGAAAATGGCAGTAGAGCATTCCATCTAGAGCATATCAAGAAAAGCATGGCAATATTTTGAAGGTGATGTTCATTGTTTTATTTTTGTTTTTTAAGATAAGCCATCTAGTTGACAGCGATGAGGAAGAAAATTGTCTTCTAGTTTGTCATACTTTATACCTATTTGCTTCTCTGTAGAGATATGATACCATTTCAACTGGATCAACACTTCTGTAGCGTAGAAGTTGCTATTGTCTATATCACATGATAGGTGTAGCAAGACACTGAATTTCCACATGGAAATGCAGTTCTGGCTGATGTCACTCAGGCATCAGAAGTTCTAGATAGGATGTAGTGTATAAAATAAATGTAGTTTTTGGAGGTTTGGAAGAAAGGATGGCTTTTTTTCCAAGATACCCTCAAGATATGGTTCTTAAAAACATTGCAGGCATTTATTATGTCCTTGTCAGAATTGAGTATAGACTTTCTGATAAGTTGCTGTTAAAGCTTTTGGACTTCAAAAGGAGTAAGCTCACTGAAAGCAAAATAAATTAGTGTTAAAAACAACATTACCTGTGAAAGTCAGTAAACATTAGAGAGATGCTTAGGAATCTGCCCCGAAGAGCTCACTTAACACACCTTGATTTATTCCAAACAGGATGAATTAAACCAAGCTGACTCGGAGGTGGAAAACAGTAAGCGCCGTTTGCAGCACTATGAAGAGAAGCAGAAAGAACACTTGGCTTGCATAAAGAGGCACAAGGATTTACTAGCTGCCAAAGAAAAAGAATTAGAGGTAGGTGTGGGATTTTTTTTATTTATTGAAGTCAGATGGTCATGATCCTTCTAATATTTACTAATAAATCATTCCACTTGTACAACATACAGACCACATTAATAGTCAGCTACACCGAGTATTTTCTCACCTCTGTCTTAATTTAGATACAGTCAGCTTAAGTAGAAGTAATTTTGTAGAAATGAGTTGAGGCCTCTTTTTGTCTGGTAGAGCATCATTTCTGTCTTGATGGGTAAGTTGGAGTTACCCATCTAGGACTCTTTTTTTTCTTCTGTGTCTTGCAATGAAAAGATTAAAATGACAGAACCTTAAAATTTGTGTTTCAAGTTCAATTGAATAATACTGTTTTGTCTGTGTCTTGCAATGAAAAGATTAAAATGACGTAACCTTAAAATTTGTGTTTCAAGAAGTTCCATTGAATAATACTGTTTTGGTTTTTTGGATGCTAGGTTTGTCTTGTACAGACCTCAAACCTGATCTTTTGAGACTTACCTAATCAAGCATTATTAACTAACTCTGAAATCACATCCACAAAGACTTTTGGAAGACTGTCCTATATGATTATAGTGAATTTGGTTCCTTATTTTTCTGTCTTAGCTAAATAACTGTGAACAGGTCAAAGATCTCAGATGGATACAGTTCTTAGCGCTGAAATAACTACCTACCTGTAAATAATGTTAGTACAATTGTTAATGATAACTAGGTTTGCTGTGGTAAGTACACAAGGATACAAAAACATTGTTCTTGCTTGTAGATCTTGTTTTTCCATAGCACAAAATATTTGTTGTGAACGCTAAAAAGATTCTTTAAAAATGTAACAATTAATTGAGTTCCAAATGTTGGTTTAGGAAAAAATTGCACAAGCAAAGCAAATCTACCCCGAGCGCATAGAGGTCAGCAGGACTGTGAAGAGTCTTGATGCGGAAATGAATCGCTTGAGAGAGAGGATAAATTCAGAAAACGATCGCCATGGAAACAGAGAAGAAATAATACAGTAAGTTATCTTTAATGTCTGAAGTTGTTCAGGTAAGGTAGGAAAAGATAGGGGAAAGAAGAGTTTTCTTACTGTCCCACATTTTCATGTGTTTTTAATACCTAAGCCGTGTGTGACAGTACAGAAACACGCTGTGCTGATTGCTCTGTCAACCAGTACTGAACAGGCTGGGGAGTATTGAACTACCTCCTAGTGATTTTAAACAATGTCTGTACTATATGTGTGTGTATGTATGTATGTATATATATATATATATATGTATGAAGTTACCAATAATCAGATACTTTTAAACACTAAGAGGGTATCCCAGTTATGACTACATGGTGTGAACATAACTCAGTACTGTTCTGTGACGCCATGAGCATTAAGCACACTTCTAGTTTGCATAATTACAAGTATAAGTTAGGCAATTGCTTGAGGTTTTGACTGCAGTATTTAAAGGAGTCACTCACTTCGGATACTCTTGAGCATGAGGAGCCCAGTCAGTCATTCTTCTTGCTGTAAGAGTTTCCTTTCAAAAGAATTTAAAATAGAAGTAAATATTTAATTTATTGACCACTTTTCATTTGGGAACAGTGTCTTATTTGACTCATTAAATGCTTTTAGCTTCAATGTAGGTAATCACAAGAAAGCTTTTATTTTAATGTTTTGATTATCAAATCAGTTTTCAGCATTTACAACAATAGTTTGGATTTAATTTAGTGCATGTTAATCCTAAACTTTCTGTTAATTAAAACAGGCAATTTCATGATGCAAAGGAAAGATACAAGGCTGCAAACAGTAAAGTAAAGAATTTAAAGAATTTTATTAGGCTGCTGGAAGAAATAATGACCCAGAGATTCAAAATATATCGGCAATTCTTAAGGTGAGTTAATTTTACTGTCATTTCTGGTTTCAGATAAACTAATTTGTAGATGTAAGTATGTGCCTGTATTCCAGGGTGAAAATTACAGAGCAGACCTGTAAGAATGAGCTTTCTTTTAAGGCGTTATTCACAGCAATCTTTCTAAGAGATCCAGTACTATTGTGCCTGGCAGGTCAGAGGCAGCCTGGATGGACAGCTGGGAAGATGGTGTGGTCAGTGGAGACTGTATTTTGCTTCACGTCAAAGGCCTTAGTTGTGCTTACTTAAACCTAGATATTTCTCTTTCAGTGCTGGTTTTGGTCAGTAAAGTATCAGCAACGTGCTAGCACTGAAATCATCTGGATTGTCACTCGTTTTTCATCGAGTAGAGTTAGTGGTGCTGTGCTCACAGAATCACAGAATTGTAGGGGCTGGAAAGGGACCTTGTGCTCACAGAATCACAGAATTGTAGGGGCTAGAAAGATTATGAAGATTATCTAGTCCAACCCCCCTGCCAAAGCAGGGTCACCCAGAGCAGGCTGGACAGGAACACATCCAGGTGGGTTTTGAGTATCTCCAGAGAAGGAGACTCCACAACCTGTCTGGGCAGCCTGTTCCAGTGCTCTGGCACCCTCAAAGTAAAGAAGTTTTTCCTCACGTTCAGATAGAACTTCTGTCTTGGGCACCCTCAAAGTAAAGAAGTTTTTCCTTACATTCAGATGGAACTTCCTGTCTTTTAGATTGTGCCCATTGCCCTGTCACTGGGCACCACTGAAGAGAATTTAGCCCCATCCTCTTGACGCCTGCCCCTTAGATATTTATAAACATTGATGAGATCTCCTCTCAGTCATCTCTTCTCCAGGCTAAACAGACCCAAGTCTCTTAGCCTTTCTTCATAAGAGAGGTGCTTCATTCCCATGATCATCTTTGTAGCCCTTTGCTGTACCCTCTCCAGCAGTTTCCTGTCCTTGAACTGGGGAGCCCAGATCTGGACACAGTGCTCCAGATGCGGCCTCCCCAGGGCAGAGCAGAGGAGGAAGATGACCTCCCTTGACCTGCTGGCCATGCTGGTTTAAATGCACACTAAGAGATCATTGGCTTTCTTGGCTGTAAGGGTACCTTGCTGCCTCATGGTCAACTCCCAGGTACTCCTCACGTAATCTCATTGTGGGCCAAACTCTTCTTGTGCTGAAAAGGTGTCAAGATCTTGTTCAGATTCTGCAATTCAACAGCTGCTTCTGTCATGGACTGTCCATACTGGGACGCTCTGGGAGTGCACCCCTTCTTTCTTGCTTCAGTCCCTTACTATCCTACACCTAGGAATGAAGCTTTTGTGGTGACCTCCCTTCAGAAGGACTGATGGTCTGCTTTCCAGTGCAGTCCTTTGTCATTTATCATTCTCTTCAGAAGAAATTGCGGGATATCTGGGTTTGCTTGGATTTTTGTACTTTTTGAACTGGGATTTGGAGGTAGTGCCGAGATGATCCTGATCAATAGTAATGATCTGGAGAATCCCAGTTATTGCAGGTGGAAGTCTAGAAATGCTAGTGGATAAGATTTGCCTGCAGAATCTGATGCTTGCCTTTTGGGGCCCATATATGTCAAACAAGATCTTGTTCCTAGAGCCCAAACTTGAGTATAAATCCCACTCTTAAGGTGTGTTGAAGAACCATAGTTCTTTCTTGAATGAGCTGTGATGTATTGTCTATTGGGGAATTATATGCTAGAACTGGGTGGGAAGAGGGTGTGTGGAATTAATATCCTGGGGTCTAGCAGAGGCCAGGTAAATTCTTTACTATCCTTACTGTGCAGTCTGAATACTGGATAGGAAAGCAGTGGAATTTTGCCATTTTGTGGAAGAAGGGAATAAAACAGACTTCTGGAAAATACAAATCTTGTACTTCTGGATTTTTACTTTGTTACTTTGTGTCAGTGACTCTCCATTATATCCAGTATCAAAAGTCACCTGTTCCAGAGCCTAATTGATTCGAGAAAATGTTATTAATGAAGCAGCACTTACTGTTTAAGATTATGTAGAATTGTTGATAAAAATCTGCTGTAACTTTTCAGTGTATTTTAAAACTTATTGACCTAATGTTTGTTTCATTTAATTGATTTAAGGCTTCTTTCTTTACGATGCAAACTCTACTTTGACAATTTGTTACGGATTCGGGCTTGCTCTGGAAAAATCATTTTTGATCACAAGAATGAGACACTGTCAATAACAGTAAGTTATTTTGGATTACTTTATCATAATATGTAGTGAAAATATTATTATTATTTTTAAGATCAGCTGCTAGAACATGCATTACAAAGGATAGAATAAGTTGTTCTCCCCTCTCCAGAAAGTGATATGCTAAATTGTAGGACATTGAAAACAAGCAAGAACAAAAAATGTATCTCCATCTCACAAGCAGGTTGCTAGATTGCATGGAATAAATGTGGACTGTCATCTTCTCTGAGGGTAAGAATTCACCAGCCAGTCATCCTAGTCAGTCTTTCAAAATTACTTATCCATATATTTCATGGATAGGAAGTTTGCCTTTATTTCTGTGATTGCATAATGGCTCCACTTGTTATTAAAACAACTTCTAATGGTTGAAAGCTTCAATATTACGTTTTTTTTCCTCTGTGTCTTTTAACATACCTCCCAAAAAATTTGTCACGGGGGTGTTTACTTTTTTATTTTTTTTGTGGGAGACTTCAGTTTTAAGAATTGAGGGGAAAAATGTGTAGTGACAACACAAATACACATTGACGCAGTCCTAATTAAACAGGTGAAGGATATGTATCTAAGGAACTGACTCAAACTCGGTCCATAAAATGTCAAGTCATTACCTGGCTTTATCAGAATACTTTTTTTTTTTTTTTATAGCTGATGTTTCATGTTTCTCAGGCGAGAGATCTATATTTAATCAAGGAAGGTATAATAATTGTTGTTTTCCTGCTTAGCTTGTTAAAGGTAACATGATTAACAGGACAAGAAAATGCTTAATTTAAGCTTAAAGTGAGATTGCCACGAGGTGTCGCCATAATCAATGGAACCAAAAGCTGTTCAGTGAAACTCGGTCCATAAAATGTCAAGTCATTACTTGGCTTTATCAGAATACTTTTTTTTTTATAGCTGATGTTTCACGTTTCTCAGGCGAGAGATCTATATTTAATCAAGGAAGGTATAATAATTGTTGTTTTCCTGCTTAGCTTGTTAAAGGTAACATGATTAACAGGACAAGAAAATGCTTAATTTAAGCTTAAAGTGAGATTGCCACGAGGTGTCGCCATAATCAATGGAACCAAAAGCTGTTCAGTGTTTCATATATTCTGGTGAAGAAACTGGTCTTCCTTCAGACTCCTGCTGTAATTCAATTACCTGCTTTTCTATTGTAGCTGGTAACCGCTGGATTTTACTGTAATATAACTACACGGGTTGATATTTATTAAACGTTAATAGCTATTAAAAATAGAGAATTGAATAAGAAAACACCGGCAGAATGTTTCATATATTCTGGTGAAGAAACTGGTCCTTCAGACTCCTGCTGTAAATCAATTACCTGCTTTTCTGTTGTAGCTGGTAACTACTGGATTTACTGTAACATAACTACACTGGTTGATATTTATTAAACGTTGTTTAATAGCTACTAAAAATAGAGTATTGAATATACTGGCAGAGTGGTTCAGTCTGTTCAATGTGTTTTACTGCAGTGGAGAAAGTTGAGGCAATCCTAGAAATGTGTTAGGAAATGGTTCAGAGCCGTCCCCTTCCGGAATGGCAGCGGCAGGGAAGTGCAGAAAATTGTTCTCAAGTGGTCTCCGTCTGTTCATGTGTAAATGTGTTTGCCTTTAAAATTAGGACTCTGTTAGTAAGTCTCTATTTCAGGTTTAAAAATTGCTCTGATATTTTTATTTCAAGGTTCAGCCTCGAGAGGAAGACAGAGCTGCCCTTAATGATGTGAGATCCTTATCAGGAGGTGAACGTTCCTTCTCAACAGTTTGTTTCATTCTCTCTCTCTGGTCCATCACCGAATCTCCTTTCAGATGCTTGGATGAATTTGATGTCTACATGGTATAAACTTAAACTTACTTTTGCTATTCTGATTTGTATAAATTATTGAAATAGTCACGTTTTTATCTGTATTTGGTTAGATTTTTAAAACACTATACTTATCTCTAAATAAGAAATTAAAAACCCCAAAGCCAAAACCCCAACCCAAAACTTGGTAGGGATCTTTGTTCACTTTGCTAAATGTCTTTTGAAGCTTATTCTGAAGTTGGTACCCAGAGCTATGAGCGTTTCTGTTACTTCACATACTTAATCCTTATTTCAGTGCAAAAATCATAAAATACAACTTTTTATTAGTTCCCCAAACTGTTGTTATTGTGTTTGTCACAGATTGTCTCTGCATGTGGCTGTGACAGTTCTGGGTTTCACATGTGCTTTGGCTTCTACCAGTTTGGAGGTCACTGGGTTTATTTTTTTCAGAGCAAGTGTAGCAATTGAGGTCAGTACTGCTCCTCAGAAACTTATACTTCATCAGTAGGATCTTTCCAAGATGCTGAAATGGAGAATAATGAACAGTAAATACTAATGTCAGTGAAAACGGATAAATGTGATTTTGTGTGCAGCTTCCCTGGATAGGCACTTAACCAACTTTTAAAAAAAAACAACTTAAAAAACCAACTTTAAAGGAGGAAATAAAAAATATTTTTATTTCCTCCTTATTAATATACAGTGTAGTATGGTTTGAGAAATTTAATTTTGTGAGACAGAGTTGATTATTTCATTTTGCCTTCAGTACCCTCACCCATCAGTGATTTACTGGGAATCACAGACCTAGAGGGGGAAAAAAAATAACTTTGTATATAAAAAATTCTAATCACAGACCTAGAGGGGGAAAAAAAATAATTTACTTTGTATATAAAAAATTCCCAAAAGGAAACTATGCATCTAAGGTGGTCAGTGATTTTTTTTTTTCAGCTGACTTCCAAAGCTTAGGTCCTTTCTTACAAGTTAATTGTGCCGAAATTTATCCATCTGCCCAGAAAAGGGTGGGTACTCAGAACCACAGGCCCTGCAGAGAACTTTTGCGTTGTCTGTTGCATACATAATTCCACACAATTTGTCTTTCCACTGCTGTGGCAGTGAGTGCAACCTCACTGTCTCCACGGTCTGTGGTTACTTCTGGTGTTATCCTGGAGACCCACCACAAGAGGCCTCCATCAGCTTATTTGCAAGGCAGATACCTAGTTTATTGCATAAGGAAGTACAGAAGCAGAGCTTTGTTTAACCCCTGCTAATAATAGCTTTCCATTGCACATCTCTTTCAGTAAGCCTAATGCATAAGGTTGTGTTCAAAATAGTAATAATAATAAAGATAATCATAATAATAAAACCAAGCTATAATATCTTAGGTTTCATGCAACCCTTAAATCCTTTCCGGTAATTTTGAGGCAGGATTTTATAGGAAACGTTATTCTACTAAAATGCAGTTCATCTCAGTGTGCCAATAAAGCAAGAAGTACTACATGTATATCTAAACTGATAGAAAAACATTGTGAGTGGGAGTGTGTGATTGTTCCTATAGAAGCTCTCTATTGTGTGCAGATACTTAAGAGCAGAGTTTAAGAATTTCCAACACTGTAATTTTTAGCTTTCAGAATTTAACCCTGATATTTCTCCAGCTAATTTTTACGAGACTTTTCTTTAGCTAAGCTTAATGTGAATTAATTCTGGTAGTTTTTTATATAAAGATACTTTCTGATGAATTTATTCTTAAGCACATGTCCTAATTTGTGCAATAATAGGCCAGTGAAGCACATGGTCAGTATCGCTACCTGATAAATCTTTTGTCTTTAGGACATGGTTAACAGAAGAATTGCAATGGACATGATTCTCAAGGTGGCTGACTCTCAGCGGCATCGACAGTTCATTCTGCTCACCCCACAACACATGAGGTAATACTGTTGTGTTGTCTTTCCTGGTAAAGAATTACAAGGAAGTTCCACTGCAAGGAGTATAATTTGAAAAAAGTAAATATGAGGAGAAAGACATTTTGCTTTCGTAGCAGTAGAACATCAACAATTAAGCAGTTCGTTACTGATGGTTCTGGGAATTTCACTGAATTTCACTTAATAGGCTTTTCACTCTTCCTTACGTAATGTCTCTGAATATGTTCAGTGGGGCTTGAGTCAGTTTATCTTAAGCAGAACAAGTTTTTGAAATGTTTTACTGTGTAAAGTAGGCTCCTGGTAGCTCTTAGCCCTGCATCTCCCTCTCCCATCACAAAATTAACAGAAGACTTAGCATTTTTCCTATTAATACTATAGTACTGTCAAGATGTTTGTCATTTGAGTTGATTTTTTTTTTTAATATCGCCAATCTAGAAACTGATAACTTACTCCTCTTTCTTTCTTTTTCCTTTTTCTCTTTTCTTTTTCCTATTTCTCTTTCTTTCTTTTTCCTGTTTCTCTTTCTTTCTTTTTCCTATTGCTCTTATTTTTTTTCCTTTTTCTCTTTATTTTTTTTTTCCTTTTTCTCTTTATTTTTTTTTTCCTTTTTCTCTTTATTTTTTTTTTCCTTTTTCTCTTTATTTTTTTTTTCCTTTTTCTCTTTATTTTTTTTTTCCTTTTTCTCTTTATTTTTTTTTTCCTTTTTCTCTTTTTTTTTTTTTTCCTTTTTCTCTTTTTTTAATCTGGTAGCCTAAAATTCTTTAAAAAGCTCCATATAAATGCCTGGCAAAGCCATGCCCAGATTAAGGGGGCAGTCACTGTTTAACGTTATGCAGCCAACCCTTCCCTCTATTAGCCAAATGTAATCAGTGAAGCCTGTGGAGAATAATTAAGCAGTCTTCAAAATAAAGTTGATTCACTTCTAATTGTCTTCCCTTACTAAAATCTATAAAAAGTGGAATAACGGTATTCTGTTGTTATTTGTGGAAAAACTTTGTGGGGAATTTCTGAAACTGTATTCAATGAACATATAGGAATTTCCTGTGTGGTTACTGTTTAAAAGTTTAATTCCAGTGCAGCTCGGTTTTGTTATGTATTTTTTACATGTTGCATGTTCAGCAAACGTTTAACATAACAAAAGTAGGGAGGCACCTTCAGGAAAAATACCCTTAGGATAATCAGTGGAGAAGCCTGTGTAAGTGTGTGGTTAGTAACTTTGCTCATTCTTAGTAGGATGTGAGTGATTACACATGTCTGAAGTGTGTGCCACTTCAGGATCTGATCTGTCAGGCAAATGTGAACTGTATTTGATCACTATTTCATTTGGAGCTTCTCTTATTTGGAGTTTCTCTTAAAAGTCCTTTTTTTATAACTAAGTTAGAAATCACTGCAGTCAGTCATTACCTCTACCCCAAGCTTTTACTGAAGTCTGACTCCAGTGTCAGTGAAGCCAGAACTTCACCCCAGCTACTGTTTTTTTAAAACTGACAAAGAAAAGGGGCAGAGTTATTTAAAGGAAAATATGTAATGGAAAGAATCGAATAGAAATCCTAAAATTTGTGGAGAAGAAAGACTGTTTAAATGATGCATACTTTTATTTTTAGTTCTCTGCCTACGAGTTCCCGTATTCGAATCCTCCGAATGCAAGACCCTGAAAGAGGCCAAAGGACATTGAATTTCCAAAACAGGAAAGACAAAGAGGACGATCAATAATTATCTGTGTGTATAATTATGGCCTAATGTTGAAGATAAGTGTGTAAGGATGCGTGTAAAGTTATTACTTCCTGCTGTAATAAGAGGATCTTTTGTTAGATACTTTAATGAAAAGAAGAGGTTCCTGTATTTTTAATTTTTTTTATTTTTAAGAATTACTCTGTGTGTACAGACCAAGAATAAGCACAGTGTTGATGATGAGAAGTGTCAGTTGACACGCAGGAGTGTTCAGTTGATATTTTTAACTACCAATTAATAGAATTTTTTATCAGTTGTTCTGTTTTTTCTTCTGGAAAAGATGAAGTATATTTTGAATAACTATGGAATACTATTTTAATAAACAGTGAGAACTAGTACCTGTGGCAATGTTTCAGTGTCTCTACACACTTAAAATTAGCATTCAGTTAAAAATGTTGTTTTCTTCCTAGCTCTGCTTGATTTCTTAAACGTGTGCTAATTAGCATGAAGTAAAATAAGAATTTTGGGAAATAATACAGTGACATTTCTACAGCATTGCAGGCCTGCGTTTCGTTGGGTGTCCCCCACTTCTTGTCCCCTCCAGCCCTCTTCCGGGACTAGACTAGAGCAGTTAAAATGAATTTGCTTTACTTAAATAATACAAGCCTTTATTGGGGATAAGAGGGAGAAAGAACCAGATTTTTCAAACTGCCCCAAATTAACTTTTTTTTTTTTTCTTTTGTTCTCCTTTCTCCAGGAACTCCAACTTGAAATTGTTGGGAGCTCTTCAAAAACAGGCACTTTACTTAGAGTTCAACCATTAGACACTTTTTCTTTTTTTTTTGTTTTCTTTTTTTTGACTCTATGGGGATACAAAAGCCATTGAGACTATTCAGAGGACAGCTCTGCAGTGTCTACAGTTATTTACCAAATAGCAATTCCTCAATAAAACCTCATTGCAGTGTAAGTTTTACCTCAAGTTTGCAGCTGGTTTTGGTTTTAGCCATTGCACAGTATTTTGTGTTCTTTAATGTTGTTCAGTCTTTACACAAGCATCTGTTTAACTCGTAGATGTGTCCATAGTATGGAAGTCAGGGATGAGTTGAAGGAAGTACACGGAGAAAGCAAATGGCAGTTCTAGTGCATTCAAACTGTAGGGATTAAGTCTCGTGATCTTTTGAAGGCTCCACGTGTTTAACTGTGAAAGCCCAGGGTCTGGGCCAACGGCCTCAGAGCGGCTTTGAGGGGGTCACTGACAAAACAGAGCCAGGCCCTTTGCTGAAGCGCGTGGTGGGAGAGACAGAGCAGCCATGAACTGAGGTTTGGAGGTTCTGGCTGGATAAACTGAGGGGATGATGCTTCGTATCTTCATCGTTCCTGATGGAGATAAGAGGCATTTGAGCGTGTTGTCCTGATGGGCTGGAGAATCTCCATCCTCGGAGACTTTCCAGGTCTGAACAGACTGCTGCACCTCCTTCAAGCAGGATGAGAGGCCTCTGGAGGTCTCTACCAAACTAAGCAGTTCTGTAATCCTGTGATTTGATGAGATAGATATTAAAGATACTTACAACTTGTTTAGGATTATGTGGAGATACGGGAGGAGGGGTGGGAAGCCACACAAAGTGCATACTTGGCAAAACTTGCCTGGAACCCAGTTTGTTTGTACTGGGAGGCCTCCATCCTCTTACAGGATGATGAACCACATTCAGTTTGACTCCTTTTTGTGATGCAACTAGAATGTTTCAGACCCTTTTACAATATGAATTGGCAGAGTGGCAGAGCATTGCTTCCTCCTCATTTTCTTCAGCATCCAAAAAGATAAAGCAGGAGTGGAGGGGCAGGAGAAAGCAGAGCATTTCTCTTCATTAGTACTTCTATAATGAGCTGTGTGGAGAAAATTGCTTCAGGAACATTCTGGCATCCTCCTGAGCTAACGCTGCAGCTTTCTCCCAAGTTTTCTGTAGACTTACTTGAAATAGCGGAGCAGTTGCAACAATTCTGGTCTTTGGTTCAAATCAATATCTTGTATTTATTCTGATCTACCCCTGTGTGTGAGGGAAGGTGTGTCTGACTGTGTGTTCTCAGCAGCTGTTTTCATGGTAGAGGATTAGTTCTGAATAAACAGTTACCAAAGCACTTCCTCGGATGCACCTATTTTTGCAGCGATCCTATTAAGGTCTCAAAACTCCCTTATTCTTGTTAGTTTAAGTACAGAGTTTACCATTGCAGCTCCCCAGAGAGAGAACTGCCGTCCTGCTCTGACATTTGGTCTTTGAGCTGTTGGCCATTTTGGATGGTGACGCGTTGCCTAATGCTGCATTAAAGAAAATGGAGCTTGTCCACCTGCAACAATGGAAGGTGCTGGCAAATGTACGTTGAGATACTGCTTCTCTAGTCAGTGTATGTAAACCTGTTCCCTCAAACATTCAGCATCCTCTCTCTATGACTAATTTAAGCCTAAGTGGAAAAAAACGGGCATCTCATTCTCAGAAGGAGGTAACATTTTTCAGAATGCGGGTTTTATTTTTAAGTTGCAGCCAAAGGTACAAAGTGTGCCACTTTCCTATTTGCTAAGAACGTTACCTGTGTAGTCCAAGGAAAGTTCTGGTGTTAAAAATATAGTTGAAATTTCTGCCTTTTGCTGTTTGCTTGGAATATTTAAGAAGAAACTTAAATGCGAGAGGATGGCTGTGGTTGTGTCAACAATTGATTCCGTGTTTTCCCCCTCCCCCATGTGTAAAACTGTTTTTTGCGGGTTCTTTTCCTCCATTTTAGGATGAGATTCATTAAAAATTTGAAAATACAGAGAATGAGTTGGTTTGTGTCACGTTTTATTGTCTGATTTTTAGCTATTACGCGTACTGTCCCATTTCTTCATAAGGCAAAGAAGAAATACCAAACATGCAATTGTAAGATGTTCAGGCATTAATTTTTTTTATTTTTATTTTTTTTTTGTAATCCTGTAAGAAACCCACTGTTTAAAGCAACTGGGAAACGTGGTGTAAGGAAGGATTTTAATCTGCATTTCCTGCAGCCCGTGTGTTCTCTACGCTTCCCCAGGGCTGCGCAGGCTCCTGCTTGCAGCAGGCTCCACTGATGTGCGTAGGATTGAGGAGGAAGGTGGTTCCTTCACCGCCCCTTCTCAGTCCTCACACTTGATCATTAATTTATTAGTAATGATTTTTGACAATATAAAATATAAACCCAGCTGGCTGCACAAGCTGCGCAGCTCCGCAGGACACGGGTACGTCTTAGTGCCAGGGGCTGAGAGGATAAACCCACCTTGTTGGTAAAAACAAGAACTGCAACGTCTGGTTTCCTATCTTACACCTCTTGGAGGGAGTGAGTGAGTGTAAAGAAGTTTTCTTCATGCTTTTGTAATGAAATATGTATTTCCCAGTAGTACAGTGACAGGTAATTAAAGAGATCGAACTTTTTTTCCTATTACGGTGCTGAAGACATGAAAAAAGAATTAGGGGAAAAGGTCAAATGTTATAAATTTATTTTGGGACATATATATTGCAACCTCTGTGGAAGCTTTTGAAAATTCAGGCAAAGATCAATACACTTCCAATAAAACCTTTAAACTTCCAATAAAACAATATTTTAAACATTATATATATATATTTATATATACTTTTAATTAAAGGGATCATTTTAGCAGGATTATTATTTTTTTTTTTTTATACTGCATTCCTCTGACATAGCTCTTTCCAGATTGAAGGGATGCAAATGAGGTAAGAATTAAGGCAAACCTAAAAGGCATGCAAATGAAGTACATTTATCTCCACTGACAATACAAGCACGTGTGCGGCGCAGACGTGAGAGCCGAGGAACTCTCTCTCCCCCTCCGTCTGTCCGGTACTACTTTACAGCAGGATGGTGACATGGTTTATAATAAACAGTTAACATTACCATGGGGATTCAGTGTCACTAACATTACTCAGTCTAGGAGACACAGAGCTAGCATCAGGAAAACATGAACAATAAATAATATAATTCACGGCAGCACAGGACTGCTGCACAGGCTCCAGAGGAAGGGGGCTGTTATGAAATGACATTGCACACATCACGTTGTGGCAGTTTATTTTTATAATATATACTTTTAAAATTCTTTAGCAAATGACATTCTCATGCACACAAGTGTTTCAAACACAAGAAGCAAGTCCATTTATAGGTAGTCCAAGCAAATTTTTGTGTGTGTGTGGAAATAGCTGCAAACTGAATGGAACATTAAACTTCTGTGCAGTCTCTGACGCGTTGCACACCGGCTCATTTCTGAATGTCACACTGCAGGAGTAATACGATGGAAGGATCACTCTTTGCAGCTTCTTTGAATTCATCCAGTGTGATCTGGTCATCTTTGTTCTTATCCATCTTACTGAAGATCTTGTCTACCCGTTGCTCAGGCGTCAGGCCATCCTCGTTCATTTTCATCATTATCACAGTGCCCACCATTTTGTAGATGGCCTTTGGAAAGAAACCAAACAGAGAATTCAACACATGAATTAACCTGAATTTTTGATGTGATCAAAATCTGGAAAGATTTTCCAACGATAAAATGATTGCCACCTTCCATAAAGATTTGGGTTTTTTTCTTAGAATCAGATGTTGATGTGCTTAAAACGAGGAAGAACGTGTTTTGCTATCTTTAGATGTAGGATTTATTTTGGGGGTCACATTTTGCATCCTGGAATGAGTTTCTTTGCAGTTCCGTTTCACAGTGCAAAACTGCTGTAACCTATTCTCTGGATCAACTGCTTAGTTGGCTTTTAGTCACTCCCTTGAAATATTTCACATAAATTCTGAATAATCAGTTTTAGCAGTCATCACCTTTTAATAGCTTTCTGTGGGTACATGTGAGCAAAATCTGGTATTAACTGCTGTGGCGAGTAGCTGGCAGATGACGAGGGAGGTAAACTTTATCCTTCCTGTTAGAGCTGTGGTCATCTTAAAGCCCATCTGTGAGAGCTCACTTAAAATAGTGTGTTGTTATCCCTGTAAATTTCTGTAATCTAAAGTTAATCTCCAGTGAGGCTTCAGCTACTTGAGCTACAAACCAGTAATTTCATGGGTGTCAAGTCATTTTGAGATGGGCTTTGTAAATCCTTTGCTCTGCTGTTCTTATGGTTAATCCCTTCATCAGAAAAAAAAAATCACCTCTAGATATTGAAAAGCTCACACGCACGTATGTAACCCCCGCCATTCTCAGAGATGACATCTGTTATGTAGGCGTGAGTTGGGACAGGATGAATATATGCAATGACTTGAGCCCCCAACACAAGAAGGACATGGACCTGTTGGAGCGAGTCCAGAGGAGGCCCACGAAGATGATGAGAGGGCTGGAGCACCTCTCCTATGAAGACAGGCTGAGAGAGCTGGGGTTGTTCAGCCTGGAGAAGGCTCCAGGGAGACCTTATAGTCCTTTTCAGTAACTGAATGGGGCCTACAGGAGAGCTGGGGAAGGACTCTTCATCAGGGAGTGGAGCCACAGGATGAGGGGTGATGGTTTTAAACTGAAAAGGGAGATTTACGTTAGACATTAGAAGAAATTCTTTACAGTGAGGGTGGTGAGGCACTGGAACAGGTTGCCTGGAGAACCTGTGGATGGCCCATCCCTGGAAGTGTTCAAGGCCAGGCTGGATGGGGCTTTGAGCAACTTGGTCTGGCGGGAGGTGTCCCTGTCCAGGGCAGAGGGGTTGGAACTTGATGATCTTTAAGGTCCCTTCCAACCCAAACCATTCTATAATTCTATAAATGTATGCTTTTAATGATACAGTATGGCCTCTTGTTTCTTAAAATCTAAAGGGTATGTGAACAAGTAATCAGATTTTCCTAATGCTCAGACATGTTATTTTTGAGTGTCACATTGATCTCACCTCTATAATTTCCAGCATTTCCACTCTTGTAATTTTACCATCACCATCCAGGTCGTACATGTTGAAGGCCCAGTTCAGCTTTTGCTCAAAGCTGCCTCGCGAGGTGATGGACAGTGCACAAATGAACTCTCTGAAGTCGATGGTCCCATCTCCGTTTTTATCAAAGGTTCGGAAGGCGTGCTGGGCAAACTTTGAAGCATCTCCATACGGAAAGAACTGCAAAATAATAAATAATAAATACGATCGTGGGCAACACAAGGGAGCAAGAGATGTTCCTGCCTGCAAAATACTGCAGTGAGGCATTTATGAAGAGCAGCTGGTAGGCTTTGTGTGGAACCGAAGATATGCAATGTGAGCTTCCGTAACAGTTACAGTGTAATGACTATTAAACCCTTATTTCTCCAAAAATCTCTTCGCTTACCACAAACTATATTACAAATATATTTAATGTTAATTTAAAGCTAAATTAACTAGATGAACCTTTAAATGAAGTTGGGTGCAAATGGGAGATGGAATGTAATATTGTCTGACTATGAAATACAGAAACCGAGGTGCATTTTAACAGTACTTTTTCTGCCTGGGAGTAACCAGCCCCTGACATGTTCCAACCAAGTGGATGTGTGGGCTTGTTGTTATATAACTTCCTTTATTTAAAAAAAAAAAAAAAAATCCACACAGAACACAAAACCCCAGGAACATATGTTCTCTTCTGCCAACCAACATAATACCAGGACATAAGATGAGAACTGAGATTCAGTTAAACGATACAGGGCGATGCTCTTTACGTTTAATATCCATTACCAGGGACCACTGCAACTGGCCGTAGCTTAACAAAGCATTTTAAATGACCCTAACCTGTAAGTTTTCAGCTGATTTTTTTTTTTTTTTCCCCACTCAGGAAATGTATAATTTAAAAGACGTGGCCCAGACTCAAGAAAACATTCCTCTTTACCCCGGTGCAGAAGTCCCATTGCAGTGAAGGGACTGTACTCAAATAATGATTGTTACTGTATTCCCTGCCCAGTTTCATGGAGGTTTTCATGCTCCTAAAATATAAACGTGCATTACTCGCAAACTGAGAGCCATCTCCTTTTCTGCTTTTTAAAATGCCAATTCTTAGTAAGTATTGCATTTAATATTGTGAGTTTGAAGCAAAGACTGTGGTGGCAGCTGAGGAAACGGGTCTGCATTTTACAATTTTCCATTTCCCTGCCCAGAGCTTTCACTGGAGGCTGGTGGTTGCTGTGGTTGCTGTGAAGCTCTTGAACAATACACTCAGATTTTATGGAGGATCTCGGGGATCTCACAGCACATAGAGAAATGGGCGCTACTAATGGACTGACTAAAGACAGATGTCAAACATGGCAAGCCTTTGCTGCTTTTCCTTTGAGGAGGCCAAATGACCATGTGGATACTGTGTCTTGCCCTAAAAAATAAAACAACTTCATGCATAGCCTGCTGCTTGCAACAAATTTGTGGCCATGTGGAGCCCCTGCTGCATTGCCAAAGCAGTCCTAACCTGAAACTTACTTTAAACTTACTGTTTTCTCTGATACCAACTTCTCAGACACAATTCTGGATAACCTTTGCATTGCTGTGAGGTAGGACTGCTATACAATGTCTGGCTCAGTTGCATGATAGTCATGCAACTTATATTTTCCCCACCTCCATCCATTCAGAATATTGCCCTGTTGTCATCTGCCCCCAAAAGGGTGCAAACCACTGGATTATCCCAGAAGAGGTATCAAACATGCCCATCTCACTTCCCAAGTATCTTTATGGGAAGATACTTGAGCATGGTGTGGAGGCATTGAGAGAGAGTGACACTCTATTACCCATTCCAGTGGGATTTTGTCCAGGTTAACACTGCTATTAAAGTTGTGATTTTCTCATTTGACTTAGTGGGGGTCAGCATCCAGCTGCTGCTTCTGTGCCCCTTCTCCAACAGCTGAAAGAGGCGTTTGGCATCGTCTCGCCCTGAAAAAGTAACACCTGTGCCTGAACTCAGCCCAGCCCCTGTTTCTGCTTTGATCACCCAAACTGATGGAGCTGTAAATATCTCAAGGTACTACTGCAGCTCTTTTCTCTACTTTTTGACCTTTAAAAATTTTTGGATGCTGGTATGGTAAGTGTGATTTTGCTCATAAACACATATAAAGGTGTATGGATTCTCTGGCACAACTGAGGACTGCCACAACTGCAGCTACCAGACCTTGCTGAATTGGTCTTCTAGTGCAAACTTCAACCTTTTCTCAAAGCAAACAGAGCTGCCTCCCTGGGGTGGCTCTTTGGGCTCACAATTCTAAGCTTGGCTGTGTCAGAACAAAGTTATGTGAATGTTATCCAAAACCTGAACATTATGTGCAGGTTATTGAAAATCCTGCTCATTGCTTTCTCTTCTTCATGATCTACCTTTTCTTCAACTTCTGTATCAACTGCAGATGTCAATGCAGGTGATATTTAATTTTAGATATGTGTGTGTGTGTATAGATAGATACATGTACACACACTGCAGATCATTGGTAGGGAGCTAAGAAGTGGCTCATGTTCCCCGTAGCTCCACCAGGACTCCACTGCCCCTCTCTTTATATTTCTTGGGAGCTTGCTGGCTGTTCAAAAGCCAAAAAGACAATTAGAATAATCTCTTGCTTTTTAAGTCACTCTGAGGGTGGTGAGGCAATGGAACAGGTTGCCCAGAGAAGCTGTGGCTGCCCCATCCCTGGAAGTGTTCCAGGCCAGGCTGGATGGGGCTTTGAGCAACCTGGTCTGGTGGGAGGTGTCCCTGCCCATGGCAGGGGAGTTGGAACTGCATCATCTTTAAGGTCCCTTCCAACCCAAACCACTTGATGATTCTACAATTCTATGAAATCTGTACTGATCACTGTCCTATGATATATAGGTTATAAAACACTTCAAAATTTTACAGCCTTCCAAATGTTTTGTTTAAGAGCTGACTATTGCTGCTGATATGGCCCCATCAGTATCTCTGCGACAGTCCCTGTGACAGAAAGGCAAGTAGCCTGAGGGAAACAGTATCACCCTTTTCACTGTCCGGAGAACCAAAATACATTCAGGTGCTATTCTCCTGAGATCCAGATTGAGAAATGGTATAAATGTACTTCCTGGAGGAATCAAAGAACTTAAAATGCAATGAAGAACCTCACCTACAAAAATGTCTACGTGGCAGCACACACCCAGAAATACAGAAGATCCCAAGAACAAAGTGGGGGATTAGGAGGCCCCTTCCAACCCAAACCACTTGATGATTCTACAATTCTATGAAATCTGTACTGATCACTGTCCTATGATATATAGGTTATAAAACACTTCAAAATTTTACAGCCTTCCAAATGTTTTGTTTAAGAGCTGACTATTGCTGCTGATATGGCCCCATCAGTATCTCTGCGACAGTCCCTGTGACAGAAAGGCAAGTAGCCTGAGGGAAACAGTATCACCCTTTTCACTGTCCGGAGAACCAAAATACATTCAGGTGCTATTCTCCTGAGATCCAGATTGAGAAATGGTATAAATGTACTTCCTGGAGGAATCAAAGAACTTAAAATGCAATGAAGAACGCCACCTACAAAAATAGCTACGTGGCAGCACACACCCAGAAATACAGAAGATCCCAAGAACAAAGTGGGGGATTAGGAGGCGTCAGTGGCTGGAGATGCCAAAGACCATTTCCAAATTATTCTTGGGGAAAAATTAATGTATCATTCAGTCCCCCATTACAGTAGCATCAGCAAGCTGTGCCCACCTCTTGTCCAGTCATACCATTAACTTCCTGAGCACGGAGAAAAGCATCCTCTAATTTTCTCATCACAGACAGGACAATGAGTTTTTCTCTTCTGAGGTGAGGAAGGGGGTGGCACTGCTCAGAGCTAGGCCTTGGCATTTACAGCCTAGTAAGGTGAACAAATGGAATTTATGCCTTTTTTTTTTTGTTTCTCTTGGAGATTTTTTTTGTGTGTGTCTCCGTGTTCCTCCCTCTAGAGAGCAAATGCAGTAAAAGGTCCTTTAGGGACTGAAGGCACTCTTCTCCAGTCTGTACCTGCTGGTTTGTACTATTTTTAGCTCAGAACAACTAAAAAACATTGTCAAAACTTGTTTGAAAACCTACTTGAAGACTTCCATTGGCCTGTTTTGAAATTATTCATAAATAAGTAATGGAGTAAAAGAAAAGCAAAACAATTAAAGAGCAAAAGAAGCTACCTCTGTTGAAACATTATTTGACTATTAAAATACAGTGAGGCCTTAGCAAGATGTAAAGGCCTTTTTTTCCATAAAGCCACAGACTGTTAACTACTTTAAGACTAGTCTGAGCCAAGTGCAATGGGAAACAGGGATTGCTGGAAGGCAAACACCCATTTTTGGCAAGGGGGATATGAGCGTGTTTTAGTCTGCCTCATATGGCACACTGGCATGAGCTCAGTGAACGCCTCAAAAACAAGTGAAGAAACACAACTGGGATTTTCAGCGGCTACAGCCTCTGGGGAAATCAGTGGGTTCTTCAGCCTCCTCTGAAAACCCTTGTCCAGGTGATCAACCTAGATAGGAAAGCAACTATTTCCCTTCTGCTGCAACGGTGCTACTGAAAAATACACTCTACACACCAGCATTGTCTCCTGCTTTACCCTTTTAATCCAAAATTCAAGATAAACTATACCTGCCTGGGCTTTTTATGGAAGTCAGTTCCATGGGTGATCATACACTGGTCATTCCCATGTTTCCTTTCCTTTCTTTTGCCCAGAGAAGCTGTGGATGCTTCATGCCTGGAAGTGTTCAAGACCAGGCTGGATGGCAATTTGAGCAACCTGGTCTACTGGGAGGTGTCCCTGCCCATGGCAGGAGGGTTGGAACAAGCCGATCTTTAAGGTCCCTTCCAACCCGAACCATTCTCTGATTCTGCTTCTCTAGTCTCATCTCTTGCTTGGCCTGTGAATTTTCTGACCAGTTAGATCAACATGCTGGTGTGTGAAGAATGTGTTATCTCCACAGACAACTACCACTTAAGAAAGGAAAAAGGAAGTGAGAAAAAAAAAATCCCTCTTATTCTGCTCCTCAAATTTTGGAGGAGAAGATCATCTTGCAGATTCTTAGGTCCCAGAGTGTTTCTGGACACCTTTATGGTATATGGGGAGCTTTCAAACAGTGCTGGAATAAGAGTATCCAGCAAATAATAGCATCTACAAGTTCTACATAACTTAAGTCTT